AATAATAATAAGTATTATCATATCCTTTATATTATTATGTATAATATATTATAGAGCATATGTTCTGATAATGTATTATTTATATAATAATATAACAAATATATTGTGCAATATTATATGTTATAGATTATGTTACTTATATAACATAAATAGAATATAAATACATAAGTGTAATGTTAATATATAATGTTATAGATTATATTTGATATATTATCTATATATAATAATATAAATATATGTTGTATAATATGTATTATTATACCTATTACTGTTATAACAATAAAGTAGTAATAATAATACTTGTTATTATTACTGTTAGGATCCACCCCAGAGCCTCCAGATTCCCCTGTCGTCCACCCCCCGCCCCCCATCCCAGACCAGTATAAACAGCTCTGGAAGCCCGGACCAGGTGGGATGCGGGGTCCCTGGGGGTCTGTGCCATGGTCTGCTCCGGTGCTGATGGACGCAAACGCGTTTTGTACTTGGCGAGGTGTCGGGAACAAGAAACGATCAGTCTGTTCTGGAATCCGGATCGTCCTGACGGTAGTTTCCCAGTGTGTTTGCTGGGGCGCAGTGTGGCCGGGGCATCGCGCTCGGAGCGCAGGGACGTATACACGCATACACAACAGTGGCTTGCGATTTGGCAAATAAAAATTCAGTTAAATCTCTGAAAAACAACGACCGTGTGCTTTGTATGTTGCACGCAATAATTTGAGACGTACTTATACCAGAAAGAAAGAAAGAAAGAAAGGAAGGAAGAAAGAAAGAAAGAAAGAAAAGAAAGAAGAAAGAAAAAAAGAAAAAGAAAAAGAAAATCGTTGTTTCTTGGAAATTCTAATTTAACTGGGCGTCCGGTGTTTGATTCGGTAACCCGGGTGTAGACGTGAACCAGACAGGGCTTTCCATACTCACCAGCTGTCCTAGAGACAGATCCCTGTTACCGGTAAACCAGCTGGAGCAAACCGAAGTCGAGGGGTTCTCCGGCCGAGAGGGGGCCCGAGCTGCGCCCCCCGCCCCGCTCCCCGCAGGTGAAGGCTGCGTGGCATCCTCACGCTCCGCGGAGCGGGGGGGGGTGGGGGGTGGGCAGGACCGCGACCCGCGGAGGCAGGTGCCGGCGCCCCGGCTCCTGGACGGTGGTGGGAGACGGGGAACCGGGAGGAGCGATCCCGAAGCAAGCGAGCGGCGCGCGGTGGGGCGCGAGTGGTCTCGGCCGGGCGCAGGGGCAGGGAGCCTGACTTCTTCCTGAGCACTGGAAAAGCGACGACATAAACCCTTTTTTCCCCAGAAGTGAGGGGAAAAAAAGAAAGGGAGCAGTGCCGTCCGCGTCTACCCCGAGCGTGACCCGAGGGCGGCCAGTGGGGCTGGGGCCCTCTTGTCACGATGAGGCCGACGTCGTACCGCACAGGTGGTGACATCCAAAACCACTGCCGAAACCCGGGATCGAACCAGGGACCTTTAGATCTTCAGTCTAACGCTCTCCCAACTGAGCTATTTCGGCTGCTCACGGGCACCGCTTTCCGCATTTCCGTAATGAAATAGTACTAGGTCGGTTGTAGCAAGAGGCCAGGGCGAGTGCAGCTGGTGGTAAGCGTTCAGCAAACATCATAAAGATGCCTAAGCCAAGACTCTGTTTACAAGCTAGAAATGGCAAATGATTTTACTTTTCTCCGTTGTCTGGACTGGAGAAACGTATGGAATCCAACGGGAAGGCCATTTGCAAAAGGCTTCAGATGTGGCTTTTCAGTGTGACCTCCAGGGGAGGTGTGATGGAGTCACTGCCTCTTGTAGGTTAAAAGCACTGTTTTTGCTAAACCAAAGTCTTTAAACTATACTTCGACTTTCATAACCCCCACCTTGGCATTTTTAGACTTTCAAATATACAGACCACTGTCAAAAAGTGGGGTTGGCTGAGACCTCTCCCAAACTCTGAGGAGCAGACTGTAGTTTAGTGATATCCCTTTAACAGGTTGCTTTTATCCCACCTTCTCCTATTTCATAATTCTGCATCTCTTGCATTCATATATATGCGATTGAACCAGCCCTAGCCCTAACTGAATCAAGATCTCTGCAGGTGGGGCTCCCGATTGCATGTTTTGTGAATTGACCAGGGGAATTTAACGTGTAGCCACTCTCGGCATCCCATTCCTGAGTCTCCCCCAAAATGTAGCTATAACCAAGAGCCCTATGTTTTAAATTGCTTACTCAGTCTCTTCACCGGCATGTCCAGCTCAGAATGTCCAAAAATGAACCGTCTTTCCCTCTAAATTTGCTATGACTTTCCATCTAAGTTTCCCTAGGCAGAAAAACACAATTTCCTCCCTCCCTCCTTCTGCCTTCCACCTACCATCAGACTCAAGTGCTGTTCGTTCCAGTTCAGTATTTCTGGAATCCTTCTACTTCTCTTCACTCTTAAATCTTCCCCAACTTCTTCTTTGGTCTTCCTACCTGGGAATCCACACTGGCATCCATCATCTTGCTTAAAAATCCTTCACGGGCTCCCTAACAGAGCAGACACCAAGACTGCTATCTATGTATGGGCTATAGGCTCTTATAACCTGGGCACTTCCTCTCAGCAGCACGGGTGCAGTGGTCTCTCCTGGACTCTGAATTCCAGCCATTCACGCAGCCACCCAAACCCGGGAGGCTTTCCTAGACTTGGCTCTGCGTCTTTGTCCGTGCCGCTTCCCATACACTGCGCTTCCCCATAGCCCCTAGTAAACACACAACTCTCAACTCAGATACATTCTCCTAGTTCTAGAAGCCCTCTCTGACCTGTCTCTAGCCCGTCCCTCCCCGCCCCATAGACTGGTTGCCCCTCTCCAGTGCCTTCACACCACTCACCAAACCAGACTGTAATTACATATCAGAGCTCTTTCTTGTCGTTTGTATCACTTGTGTATGTTACGTAACAGACTGGGGTCAATGTTGAAAGAGAGAAGGGAGAGAAAGCAAAGAAGAGAGAGAGAGAAAGAAAACCTATCTCCAGGCCAACTGGTTCTGTACTAACTTTTAAAATCACCTGGTTGGAGCATCTGGGTGGCTCAGTCAGTTGGGCGTCTGCCTTTGGCTCAGGTCATCATCCCCGGGCCTGGGACAGAGCCTCACAGTGGGCTCTCTGCTCAGCGGGGAGCCTGCTTCTCCCTCTTGTCCCTCTGTTCCTCACCCCATGCTGTCTCTCAAGTAAATAAATAAAATCTTAAAAAATAAAATAAAATCACCTGGTTAGACTCAAATGTGACATCTGCAAGACTATTTAGAGACGATTCAAGCTCTTTAGTTCTTGCATTTAAAGATACTTCACGAGACCACTCTGCATCCTTCCTCTGAGGGATCAGTGTGAACGGAAAAGTTAGTAGGAATGCCCAAGGAGAGTATAACTACACATTATTGTCTGAGCGTGGAAGGAAAAGCCAGGAGAGGCTTGGAATGCTTCCCACAGGGCAGAGCCGATCATGGAACAAAAAGCTGTATCACTTTGAGAAGCAAGCTCTACATTTTGATGACAATCCTAAGAGTTTCACAAAGGATACACTTTATGGTGAATAACTTCTACTAAAGATTTTTCTACCCCTCCTTTTTAGGGTTGTTTTTCACTTATCTTGTTGAAAGTAGAGTAGGCCCTGAGATTTAAAGGTTTACCATTTTGGTGGGACTTCAGGGGGTTCCTGACAAGTGTTCTAAATTGTAATTTCTGGGTCATCATTTTGAATCATGAGTGAGTGTGGCAGGCCCTTGGGGATCCACATCATGACCCACTGGGTCATAGCGGCCCATGAAAGGGCTAAAGGAGGGATTGTTAGAATGTTTCAGGTACATTTGACTGTCTTCTATCGGAGGAAACTATATGGCACAGGGCAGGTCAAGATGCCAGATGCAGCTCTCTGCAAATGGCAAGTGTCCACTGCGATGATTTTTAGCTTGCCAAAAAGCAAAAAACCAAAAAACCCTTCAGGGGCTGAAACTTACCAACGAACCCAACAATACAAATCAGGCAAATGACTTGAACAGATGACTGGCTTTCCCAAGAACCAGGCTAGAAAAAATAAGGCCTTCCCAAGAACCAGGCTAGAAGAAAACAATCTGGCAACATGACTAATTCTGTGGACACGAGAGCCCTGAGAAATCAAGGAGCCTGGAGGCTGGCCTTCAAGGATGCTCCTTCTTCGGGTGGACTTCCAAAGGGGCGCTATCCACATCACTAAGCCCCTGGAAACAGAAATGTGCGTTACTGCACGATGTGACCTCACCCAGCAGGAAATGACTTCACTGTCAGCTGCCTTCCAACCCAGTTTCTCCCGGAACACAAGGTTGTAGAGGTCACACACTCCGGGGGTCAAACAAACCCAGCTTTGAATTCCAACACCATGACTAACCAATTGGCTGTGACCTCAGTGAATTTATTTAAATTAGGGTTTTTTTCCAATGCCTTTGTATTCCACATGACTTTAACATTTACCTCTTAAAAACTGTCCAAGTAAAAGCCAGACGGCGCTCAGAATTCCACACTTACCATGTTGGACGCAGAAGCAGATGGTCAGCCGCAGGGCAGGGCCTGTGCTTGCTCTGATGTGCAGCCTCTTCCCCTTCCCGGGTTCCTTGGACTCCTTTGCCCAATCTCCTCCCCTCCCTGAATTCTATAGTAGAAACCTCAACAAGCATCTTCACAGTCCTTAATTCTAAGCCCTCCAAATCAATACTTAATTGTTGGAATGCCTGGGTGGTTCAGTGGTTGAGCATCTGCTTTCAGCTCAGAGTGTGATCCCAGGGTCCAGGACGGAGTCTGGCATCAGGCTCCCTGTGAGGAGCCTGGAACTCTATGTCTTTGCTTCTCTGTGTCTCTCATGAGTAAATTTTTAAAAATCTTAAAAACAAACAAAAAACTTACGTTTCAAACTACAGAATTTGAATCCCTACATGAGACAGCTAAGAATCTGAGAATCTAAATGGGCAAGAGAAACTGAATTCAAGAAAACTTTTATTTTTTGAGGTGAAACAGGCCCAACATCAAAAACACTACAAATGACTCCCCTATGCCAAGGTGGGTCACTGACAATTATGTTCCATTAAAGCAGAAGGGGCGTTAAAACTACTCTTCTGTCCACAGGCCCTTTAGAATGCTGTCAAATAGTGGAAACATCTGGAAACCCATGCCCAGTTTTTCTTTCAATTTCTCACCAAGAGCAGCTGCCTGATTCCCTAGAACAAACCAATCAGTTCTCCAGCCCCTCCCACCACCACTTCTTACCTAGTAGGAGTACAAGTGAATCAGACAAATTATATGACTTTTTAAAAATTATTTAATTTAGTAGTTTTCTTGGAAAAAAAAAACAATAAGGCAAAAAAAACGAAAATATATATAGTTTTGTTTTGATGTGACTTCATTTCACCTGAAGGACTCAAAGCTTCTCCATTAGCAGGAATCAGACTGGGGATCAGGCTGGAAATGTAGTGCAGATGGTGGAGGAAGAAAGGTGGGGGATAAAGCAGAGACGTTCTGTTTGGTTGAGGAATTCCTGCTCTGGTTAAAGCCCCCTGATTAGGTCACAGCCTTTCCGGGCCTCCTTGAAAGAAGCCCCAGCACAATCCCACATTTAAGGTGGCAATTGGGGTCTTAGAGGAAACTCCCCAGTGGATGCCCATCTCTCAAATGCACCACAGCTAGGAAGGGGGGTGGTGAGGAAGGAATACTACTAATTTATCCAGTATAAATCCAATTTCCATGCAGGGATGGCTTCCTCTGGAATGATATTTCCCCCAGGACCCACACTGGCTGAGGCTCAGCAGTTAAGGAACAGAAATGAAAAACAGTAACAAAAAGCATACAAGGAAGGCACCTCAATTTGTGATCCTCAACCAAGGGCGGGCTGCGCAGGGGCAGATTTCTAAACAAGACAACTGAAACACATATGGAACACACAATGAAGGAAGCCAGGGCCCAACAGGAGCAGTTCTCTTACCCACCCCACATGACGGCACTTTCAGCCCCACATCCTAGGAAGAAATTTCTTTTGGGAATTAGCTGTATGTGCTGTCATTTGGGCAGATGCAGAATTAAACTGGAAACTACCGTCCTGACACTCTACCCATACTCTGCCTAACAAAAGAGGGAAAAAGAGGATTTCATTCTCGAGACTCAGGTAATTAGGAGAGCAGAATTTCGACAGCAGTGGGCACTCCATGATACAGACCGAGGATCAAGCCCCTGTTCAGGAGCTGCTGGACATGATCCTGCTCAGGTTTTGAATCTGTCTGCCCCTCAAAGGTGGAAAACAGAGGAGGCTCCAGCCCACATCAGTGTGTCCGAGAGAGAGTCCCAGGGAGACAAAAGATATCAAAAAAACAAGATTCTGAATGGGAAGAAGGAAAATCAAACAAAAAAATTAGATTTTTCTCTACATATATATAATATACAGATATTTAACACATTATTCGAGAGGTGGCTCCAGTCCATGGGGCTTGAGAGATGGTGGAAACTTTTGTTTCAAATTAACTCCTTCTCTCAAATTCTGAAGTCTATCAGAATGGGACAGGTAATGCTTTGCTCCACACTGGGGCACAGACCCAAACAGGTATTGCGCTGAGAGAGAGAGAGAGAGAGAGAGAGAGAGAGAGAGAGAGAGAGATGGAGAGGGAGAGAGAGAGAAGGGGGAAGGGAAGAGGGGGAGGAGCAAGAAAGGCTATGAAGAATGGGGTGGAAGAACTGGGAAAGCAAAGTGGCTAGCAGTCTTTTCCATCCTGCCTTTTGTTCTCAGAAGTTCCCCGGCAGAGGAAGTCTGTAAAACTCCCCTGCAAGGATAACAAAGCCTCCTACCGACCACCAGAGTGGCTTGGGTTGCTGTCAAAGGAGGACAGCACAAGGGGTCTATAGGCAAGTGCACATACAAACTTCTAAGAAACATAAGTCTGAGTATTCCAATCTTACAGAACAGGCCCCTCGCAGTTTTTCCGATACTATAGTTATCTCCGGGCCGATGCCCCATGAGACCGATCCCGTGTGTGACTCCATTTCGGGAGCCATGCCTAAGCTCCACCGCAGTCATTCACGAAGCCTCCATTGGTCAAGTCTTCCGTGCTCTTTCCAGGAGCTTCTAAATTCAGCTCTCGCCCTGATCAGCACCAAAATGGCCCGGAATCATGACCTCACAGACCTTGGCCGAGCAGGATGCTACAGGGGAGGATGAATGACATCATCTGAAAGTGGGGGCGGAGGGCGAAGAGAGCCGAGGACACGTGGCTGTGCAGAGGTGGAGCAGTGCTACCTTCTGGCCACAAACACAGGGACCTAGTAAGTCGATTTCAGTTTCAATCAGCTAAGGCAACCAGCCAATCACCACCACTGGTGTCTGCTTCTGGTGATTGATTTGGACAAAATGATTGGTTAAGACAGACAAACTGGAGGAAAGCGCTGGGTCAGAATCCCAAACGCTAGCTTTCCCGCACATCCTCTGTCCTCTTCTCCTTTGGATCCTCCTCCTTTTTGTTGCTGCCATTTCAGAAAATGTCCGGGCATGAGGTCCAGTCCTGTTTTTCTTTACACTCCCAGTATCCTCCCCTATAAATATGGGTTAGCTCCTTGGTAACAGGGTCCTTCTTCCGCTCAAACCACAGCGCCTTATAGGGATCATAGGGTGTGCCTAAAGGGGAAGGTGGGTTAAGAAACACAGAATGAGTGCCAGAAACACACGAAATGATTCTCCACGCATCAAGAGAGTGGAAGGCAGGTTCATTACCATCCTCCGTGGCTTTCATTGCTTCTGCTTCTCTCTTCTTTCTGGAAAGTCTCTGCTTTTCCTCCAGGCGCTGCTTCTCAGCATTGGCTTCATCCCAGCGCCCATTCTCCATCAGTCTCTGGTCGGGCCGCAATCGGCTGTCTGTGGGCGCGGTGCCACTTTCCCAGGCATTGAGCGTCAGGGCAAGCTCAGAGAAGTAGTACATGTTCTCAGCATTCTTCCTACAAGTCAAGGATGAGAAAGACGAAGGGTGATATCAGCGCCCAGTCCCTTGTTACGGAACCACCAAGCACACTGCCAAAACATGGCCTCTGCAAAGCTGTTCTACAGATGGACAGACCTGAGCACCAGGTCACGGTCCCCTCATGAAGACACCCAGACCAGACCATTCTCCAGCCCCTCCCCTGGCATCACTCACTCTAGGAGTTTGCTGGGTATGTACTGTACTCTGCGGAGATTAGGAAGGAATTCATTACGAAGAGTGAAACATTCTACAAAATGAAAATTCCTCATTCCTATTTCCTTTGCTTTCTCTTTATCCTCTTTCTGGGATAATCTTGGCTGCTACTATAGACTAAACAAATGAGATGACAGGAGAAAAATAGCCTCCATCTCATTTCGGAATTCCTTTACTTGACCTCAGAGACCTTTATATTGCCGCTGGGTCTCAGGCTAAGTTGTAAACAGGTGGTCAGCATGTTTCTTGTCCAGCTGCTTCTGAATGGTTTTATTATTTTTTTTTTTATTTTTAAAGATTTTAGTTACTTATTCATGAGAGACATATAGAGAGAGGCAGAGACATAGGCAGAGGGAGAAGCAGGCTCCACACAGGGAGCCTGATGTGGGAATCAACCCCTGAATCATTTTGCTTTAAATTATGAATATTTTGGGGCACCTGGGTGGCTGAGCGACTGAGCATCTGCCTTTGGCTCAGGTCGTGATCACGGGGTCTTGGGATTGAGTCCTGCATCAGGCTCCCCGCAGGGAAGCCTGCTTCTCCCTCTACTTGTGTCTTCGCCTCTCTGTGTCTCTTATGAATACATAAATAAAATCTTTAAAAATAAATAATGAATATTTTTGGCAGATGTGACTTGATTAGTTTCATTTTTCTTGGCAAAAGCACATTATAACTCAAATCATATGGTGACAGCCTTCTGGTAATCTCTCCAAAGGTTCTGATTTCCCTGGCTTGATTCCTCACGTGCTTAAGTGGGAAGGAAGGCAGCAATGCCATCAGTACTGCTCCAAGGTTGGGGTCAAAGTGTTACCCAGATAGCATACATACTGATACTCACGGTAAAGGGTTCCTTTTCCATAGCATGACCCTGCTTTCCTCTGCCTCATGGCCTCTCTGCCGAGCATCACCCCCATTTTCCCCAATGACTGGCTGTACTTTGAAACAATCCATTTTCTCATCCCATGTCCCCAGAAGAGCAAAGTGAACTTTTCCTGATGGATCTGTCACTTCCCCTGTCACCTACAAGGATGGAGAGCAGGGTTTTGGGTTAGCTTACCTGACTACTCTGGAAACCAAAGCCCTACAGTAAATACTGGTTAAATCCTGCTACAATAAACACCATAGAACCACCCATATTATTCTGGTATTTTTTTTGAGCTGCTTAAAATAAATGAGCCACAAGTTGGAGTTTCATCATTTTGTTGTATAGGGTTTTTTGTTGCAATGATACATGAGGGGTAAAGATCCGACTGGTACTCAGAATTATGGCATTTTCTTCTCTCTGGAAGTTAGAGACAGCCATAAACAGATTTAAATCTCCAATTCTTCTTCACTTGACATCAAACTCATGGTGCAATTGACACAGGACTTCACGGCAGTCAAACTACCCATCCTTCTTCCTGAAATCCTTTTATTGGTCCTTCCTCTGTGTTTCCCATTTGCAATCTCTCCTTGCTCTTGACTTTCACTTTCTTATTGTTTTGATCAGAAAAGACAATGATTTGGTTTAGTAATGCAAAATCTAAGTCCCCTTTCCTGATGACTTTTTCCTTTACCTCTCCTTCCCCTCCCCCAAATCACCACATAAATATTTAGGAGATATATACGTTTAGACTATCTATTCATCTATCATTCACACCAGCCCCCAAAGAGTAGGCTTTCTTTTTTTCTTTTCTTTATTTTTTTTTAAGAGTAGGCTTTCTAAGGGATACACACTAAGGAAAAACATTTAAAACTCCAACTCCTCTTACCTTTCTTGCTACATCACGAGAGAAGTAGCTGTAAGGGACAAATTTAAGATTGCACTTGTCTCCTGTCTTGTGGTTCACAATATCGATTTCACCAGACTACAAAATAAAAAGCATCACTGTATTAAGACTGGAGGACTTGAATATGTGCCAGACCCCGTGCCCTATACTTTTCCATCGTACACTCTCAGACTCCCTTGCTTAAGGGTTCTGGTCTCAGCCAACCCTGAGAAGCCATGAAATTCCTTCAAAACCTTGGTAGGCGGCATGATTTGCCTTTCAGCACATATGTTGATATTCACATAATAATTTACCTTTTCACCCCACTCATACCCTTCATGAACTCTGTGCTTAAATCAAAGTACTCTACTCACAATTACAAGGTTATACATGGCGGAACTTTCTATACTTTATTTCATTTTCTTTCTATCTTCTAAATCCCAAAGCACTTGAAGACTCAGCTTAGAGCACATGGGTGGCTCAGTTGGTTAACCATCCAATTTTTGATTTCGGCTCCGGTCATGATCTCCAACTTTTGGTTTTTGGCTCAGGTTGTGAAATCAAGCCCCTCATGGGGGCCCTGTGCTCATTGTGGATGGAGTCTGCTTGAGATTCTCTCCCTTCCTCTCCACCCCTCCCCTTGCTCATACTCTCTCTCTCTCTAATAAATAAATAAATAAATAAATAAAATCTTAAGAAAAAAACTCAGCTTAATTCACACACCTACTGTGAAGGTTTTCCTGACTTGTCAGACAGTATTCCCCCCCTTTTTAAAGATTAGTTATTTATTTGAGAGAGTGAGTGAGAGAGAGAGCACAAGTCAGGGCAAGAGGAGAGGGAGCAACAGATTCCCCGCTAAGCCAGGAACATGACTCAGGACTCGACCTTGAGACTCCAGGATCAGTACCTGAGACCAAGGCAGACACTTAATCGACTGAACCACCCAGGCACTCTCCCTTTCTTTTCTGAATTTATTATAACCATTGTCTTAAGAGCCAACTGATAATTAATTAGATGTTATCTTAGTACAGCTCTTATGCTAGTGTATTTTGTTAAATACTTTTGAATCTATACGTATTTGTCACGTCATCTCCAATGATACAATAACTTTGCAGGACAATGTCTTATCTAGCTTTTTATCCCCAAGACTTCGTGTTCTGCCTAGCAGTCAAGTCTGATGAATAATGAAAGGTGGAAGACTAGGAGCCACGTTTATTATTTTGTTGTACTTTCATAATAGTCAACACAGTCCTGGGAGAGTAGTCCCTGAATGAATGTTACAAATTGGTCATTTACAAATAATAATTCGTGGTATAGAAACTCAGGGGACGCCTGGGTGGCTCAGCGGTTGAGCCTTTGGCCCAGGTCATGATCCTGGAGTCCCGGGATTGAGTCCCACATTGGGCTCCCTGCATGGAGCCTGCTTCTCCCTCTGCCTATGTCTCTGCCTCTCTCTTTTGTGTCTCGAATGAATGAATGAATGAATGAATGAATGAATAGATAGATAGAAAAGAAAGAAAGAAAGAAAGAAAGAAAGAAAGAAAGAAAGAAAGAAAGAAAGAAAGAAAGAAAGAAAGAAGCTCGGGGGCAGCCCTGGTGGCGCAGCAGTTTAGCACCGCCTGCAGCCCAGGGCATGATCCTGGAGACCCTGGATCGAGTCCCACGTCAGGCTTTCTGCATGGTGCCTGCTTCTCCCTCTGCCTGTGTCTCTGCCTCTCTCTCTGTGTGTCTCTATGAATAAATAAATAAAATCTTTAAATAAATAAATAAATAAATATTAATTAATTAATTAATTAAAACTCGGGGATTGGGGGGGGCGCTACTGCCTGAGAGCAATTCGTGAGAAAAATCAGTAACAACCGTCTGGGGCCAGTTCTCATGCCCTTGATACTGCAGAGACGGACCTACGAATGTACTTCTTCTGCACTTCAGAACACTTTGGGCACCTCTGCTTACCTGATCTATCCACAGCTTGCCCACAATAATGTTGTGCACTGTGGTGGTAACCTTCTTCCAAGTGTAGTGGTGCCCAGTTGCATGGAAAATACAGTGAATGCTACCTGGAAACGGAGACAGGTACACAAACAAGCCAAATATTAGAACAACAGTGTCACATTAGCTACAAATAACAATGGACTGATTTTCTTCTATCAATATTTCTTACTTTTAAAAGGAAAACAATAAACCAAAAAGGATTTATAATCTTCTTAAATGCTGGAAGCACTGATTGAATTTTTTTCTTCACTTATTTTTAAATTTATGATTAAACTGTAACTAAATGATGACCAACACTGACAACTGATTAATCTTAGCTAGGAAGCGATATTCTGCAATTAGAGAAAAAAGAAAGCAAAAGCTCCAATCTTTTCACCAAATGTGCCTGCCACACAAGTTGCAAAATTTACAGGAACAGGTCAAATCTGCCCCACATAAAAAAAATAAAACTGAATTGTGGAAAAGAGCACATGCTGGAAGTCAGGATGGCAGTGGTGAGGCCCTCTTTTAGTAAGTAGCCACATGACCTTAAGTAACCTGCTTTTCTAAGGGCCTTAATGATAACGTAGTAGTGGATAGGGCAGAACTAGACTGAATCCTGGCTCCAACACTTGTTAGAAGTGTGACCCTGGATTGTGTAATAAGGAATTGGTCTGGTATTTCTCCATGGTTCCTGGGAGGGGACCTCTAAACCCCTGGAATCTCCCAAATGAGAGGTCCCAGAGGGGACCTCCAGGGAAGGAGGCCTGAAAACGGAATTCAGTCCAGTGGTCAATGTTTCCATCATGCCCACCTAATCAAATCCTAATAAAATCTGTGGACGATGGAGCTTAGTGCAGCTTCCTGGTTGGTGAACACCTCAATGTGCCCTGATTCCATGGGAGAAGTCATAGAAGTTCTATGTCCAGGACACTCGCAGACCTTGCTCTATGCATCTCTTCATTTGGCTGGTACTGATTTGTACCTTTTATAATAAAACTATGATAGTGAGGATAGTTCTTTCCTGGGTTCTATGAGTCATCCTAGCAAATTATCTAAACTAAAGCCAGTGCGTCAGAAGTACATAGGGTCTGGGGCCCCCCAAATTGGTAGCTGGCATCTGAGGTGAGAGCAGACTTATTGGAGCCGGTGTCCTTAACTTATGCGGTCTGCGTGAATCTGGGAGGTTAGCAACAGAACTGCACTAGAGTACCAGATCCTGCATATGCTGTGATCTCCCTAGGTCTCAGCTTTATCATCTGTAGACTTGGGATAAGCACACCTTGTCACGCAGTACTGTTTATCTGCCAGTACAATGCCTGAAACATAATGGGTGCTCAAGAGATACAGTCTTCTCTTGTCCCTGTGAGTTCATCTTGCATATAAAACCAAAAGTGAGGTGAAGAGAAGTGCCTAGGGATTCAAAATAATAAAAAAATTTAAAGATAAACATACATATGTATATCTTTTTAGAAAAAAGATTTTATTTTTTTGAGAGACAGACAAAGAGTGAGCACGCAAGTGCGAGCTAGAGGAGCAGAGGGAGAGGGAGAGAGAACCCCAAGCAAACTCCATGCTCCACGTGGAGCCCGACGCAAGGCTCAAATTCATGACCGAGATCATGACCTGAGCCAGAATCAAGAGTCAGACACTTAACCGACAGAGCCACCCATATATACACCCTATATGTATATCCTTATATACATGTTGACTAATACAGTCAGTTACAGTACTGGTAGAAGTCTAAGCTCTCTCTGCAACCACTAATGAACAGAAGAGTAATTATGTGTCTTTCTTGTACATGAGACTAAACTAGCCCTGTTGGCTGCAGCAGCAGTGATGACAATGACACCCAGGACAAAAGGAGCAGCTCTGCTGACAGCACCTTGTGTCCTAGGCACCGTGCTACACTCTCCTCATCTATTAGCTCATTTCATCTTCACAACACCCTTTCAAATACCTGTGTCATCTACACACATGCTAAGTCTCCTGCTCAATACTTCTTCTACCACCACTGCTGTCTAAAGCCACCGTCCTCTCTTGCCTGAAGCTAACATTGTTTCGGTCCCACTTCCACCATAGTCACCTTCAAGTCTCTAGCCAAAGTGATGTTTAAACCATGTCACGTCAACTTGCCACACTGTGTAAAATCTCTAGTTTCTTCCCACTGCAATGAAAACCAAACCCAACTCCTTTCCCTCATGTACAAAACCCTACAAGATCCGGCCCTTGGGATGTCTGAGTGGCTCAGCAGTTAAGCATCTGCCTTTGGCCAAGGGCATGATCCTGGAGTCCCAGGATTGAGTCCCAAATCGGGCTCCCTGCATGGAGCCTGCTTCTCTCTCTGCTTCTTTCTTTGCCTATGTCTCTGCCTCTCTCTGTGTGTCTCTCAGGAATAAATAAATAAAATCTTAAAAAAAAAAAAAAAAGGAAAAGATCTGGTCCTGGCCAACTCCTCGGATTGTGCTCGAAAGCTGCTGTGGCCTTTGTGCTCCCTGAGCAAACATGCTGTGCTTATTCCCCTCTTGGGGCCTTTATCTATAAGGGCGTCTCTGCTGGGACATTCTTCTCCAGATCTTCAGATCTTCTGATTGGTTCTTTTTATTAGTTAGGTGTCTGCTCAAATGTAACCTTGCCACAGAGAATTTTCCGTGTCCAAGGAACCACTAACACACTCGCTTCTCCACTATTCACCCCATCTCTGCTTGCTCTAGTTCTTCATAGAACTACCACTGTCTAAAATTAAATAAATATAGACAAAAAATAATATTTAAGTGTTTACTTTTTTGTCTGCTTAAGAAAAGAATGCAAGCTGGGGCGTCAGGTGGCTCAGTTAGTTAAGCACCGACTCTTTTTTTTTTTTTTAAGATTTTATTTATTTATTCATAGACACACACAGAGAGAGAGAGGCAGAGACACAGGCAAAGGGAGAAGCAGGCTCCACACAGGGAGCCCGATGCGGGACTCGATCCCGGGTCTCCAGATCACACCCCAGGCTGCAGGCGGCGCCAAACCGCTGCGCCACCGGGGCTGCCCAAGCACCGACTCTTGATTTCAGCTCAGGTCATGATCTCAGGGTTGTCAGATAGAGCTCTGTATTGGGCTCCATGCTGGGCATGAAGCCTGCTTAAGATTCTCTCTCTCTCCCTGCACCCCTCCTCCCCTGCTCACACACACACTCTCTAAAAGAAAAGAATGCAAGTTAAGTGAGGGCAAAGTGGTTTTTGTCCACCATTACATACGCACAGCACCAAAAACAGTTTCCAGCATATAGTAGGCACTCAAATACCTAGTGATACCTCAGCTGCGGGCACTATTACCCCTGTATTTGTTTCTATTGCTGCTGGAACCAACTTCCACAAACTCTTTGGCTTAAAACACAGTTGTTACTCAACTGCTACATTTCTGGAAGTCAGAAATCTAAAATCAAGGTGTCAAAAGGCCTATGTTCCCTCTGAAGGGTCTACAGGAGGCCCACTTTCTTGCCTTTTCCAGCTACCAGAGGCCACCTGCATTGTACATTCTGTGGTCTCCTAGTGTCACTCAAAATTCTTGCTTCATCCTGAGCATAAGAAAAATGAGTTTTGTGGCATTTTAACTTGCCCTACTTCCATCTTCCTTTCCCCAGCTTGGCAGTAGCCTTGAGAACCAGCAATCTCACAATCACCGTAGATGTGAAAAGCAGCAAGCAGCTTAGCAAACACTGGGGGAAGCAAACAATATGAAGCTCCCCAAAAGCCCAATCTCCAAGGAACTGTCATTATCTGACCAATTTGGTGGTTCCCAATCACAAGGCTTGGCTTTATTTGACTTGACTCAGTACCTGCTCATCTCAAATAGCCTTTTCCCCAGGGTGACAAGCAAAACACCAATGGTAATTGTTTAACATAGCAGCTGCCTGAGGTGGTGTTCATAATTGGAGCAGTTAAGGGGGCCCCGGGGTGACTCGGTTGAGTGTCCAACTTCTTGTTATGGCTCTGGTCACGATCTCAGGGTCGTGAGATTAGCCCTGTGTTGGGCTCTACACTGAGTGTGGAGCCTATTTGGAATCCTCTCTTTCCTTCTCTCTCCCCCTCCCTTGCTTGCTCTCTTTCTTGCTCTAAAACAAAACAAAACAAAACAAAACAAAAAAACAAAAACAACTGCTCCAATTGGAGCAGTTTAATAAATTATGGCTTCAAATTCCAAATTTGATGAAAAACATTAACCTACATATCCAAGAGGTGTAACTCCAATAGGATAAACTCAAAGAGCACCACACTGGAACCCATCATAGTCAAAATACCGAAAAACAGAGAACCTTGAAGCAATAAAGAGAAAAGTGATGCATCAAGATAAATGATCCTCAATAAGATTATCAGAAACTTCAGAGGCCAGAAGGCAGTGGGATGACATATCCAATAATACTGAAAGAAAAAAATGATCAAACCAAGAATTCTATATCCATATCTATATATGTTTATCTTTCATAAACAAAAAACGTAAGGCATTTCCAGGCAAACAAAAACTGAAAGGATTCATAGCTATTAGATCTTTCCTTCAAGAAATAAACCAAAGGAAGTCTTTTGGGCTGAAATGAAAGGACAGTGGACAGCAACTTAAATCTACATTAGAAGAGACCAGTAAAGAGAACTATAATTAAACTATAAAACAACAGTATTAATGTATTTTTTACTTGCAGCTTTTTTTTTCTGCTACATGATTTAAAAGACACTCGTATAAAGCAACAGTTATAAAACTATGTTGATGGTATTATAATGTATAAAAATATAATTTACACAAAGATAAAAAGCACAAAGGAGGAAAGAGGTACAGGATCCATATATCTGCAAAGTTTTTACATACTATTGAAATTAAATAGGCATTAATCCTTTTCTTTTAATATTTTATTTATTCATGAGAGACAGAGAGAGAGAGAGAGAGGCAGAGACACAGGCTGAGGGAGAAGCAGGCTCCATGCAAGGAGCCCGACGTGGGACTCGGTCCTGGGTCTCCAGGATCAGGCCCTGGGCTAAAGGCGGAACTAAACTGCTGAGCCACCCAGACTGCCCCTAAATTGGTATTAATCTGAACAAGAAGCTTAGATATTAATTGTATGACCTGGGATAACCACTAAAAAAAAAATACCTTCGAAAATACACTTGATCTTGATCTAGCCAAAAGGCTGAGAAGCAATCCTTCAAAAATATAGTAAAAAGAGATAACAAGGGTATTAAAATGGTAAACTAGAAAAATATCTATTTGATACAAAAGAAGGAATAGAGGAACAACAACAACAAAGATATACAGAAAAAAACCCAAAAAGCAAAAATAGCAAATGTAAATTGTAACTAATCAGTAATTATATTAGTTATAAGTAATCACTAATGAAGAAGTAGAAACTGGAAGAATGAATAAAATATGTAAGGGGAATTTTTTTACTAAAATGCCACTCTGGAGCAAATTCAAGGTCCCTGGAACCCAGTAGTGTCACTGACAGAGATCATCAGGCTGACTGGTTGTTTCATTCATATTCCCAATTTGTGATTCTTGGTTTAGAGAGCTCCAAAACTATAAAACAATATCCCTTTAAATGTGTCTCTTTAGGGAACCTGACTGGCTCAGCTGGTAGAGCATACGGCTCTTGGCTATGAGTTGGAGCCCCACAATCGGTGTATAGAAATTTAATTACTTAAAAACCTTAAAACAAATAAATAAATACCTGAATATATGAATGTGTCTCTTTTCTTTTTTTAGAAAGAGAGAGAGAGCAGGTACAAGGATAAAGTAGTGGAGGAGGGCGAGGAGAGGGCTGAGGGAGAGGGAGAAAGAAAATCTGAGAATCCTAAGTAGGTTCCATGCTTAGCAAGGAGCCTGATGCAGGACTCAATTTCATGACCCTGAGATCATGATTTGAACCAAAATCAAAAGACAGATGTTTAACCTACTGAGCCACCCAGTTGCCTTAAATTGTCTTTCACCTTTTGCACTACCACCTGGTTCTAGTGCCCTGGAACTAGATGAGCAAACTCACATGTATTCTCTGCCACTGTTTTCATTTTGCACACTTCCATTATGTTTTCTAGAAGCACTCTTCTTTCTAGATTGCAGGGGTTCTAACTTTTCTAGTCTATTTTACAAGGAGACTCAGACTCCTTGTTATACCACCTCCAAAAACTATCTGCTTACTCACAATCCTGTCCATAAATCATTCTTCAGTGACATCTATTGTTTTACCAACTTACCCTAGGAGAGTAGAGTGCCCTTGCAAATGTGAAAATTTCACTGCAGGATTCTCCTTCCATGTCACTGATCCAAACTATTAAATACAGCCATCTGCAGGACCAGTGCCCGAAAATCCCATTCTCTGTACATCAGTTTCCTGTCACTATGTTAATTCTTTGTTCAATCTCCCTATGAAAGCTGGGATCTTTGTTTTGTTAACTTATACTTCCTGCCTGGTACATGGCAGGTACTCGGTATTTAATGGATTGAGGGACTTAAGGCAACACATCCTGGTGACCTGAATCCTTAAATAACCATAGGAATAGAATCCTATCAAAGATAATTTTTTAACTCTAAAAAGTTAGATCTACCACATATATCATGTTCATATAGTTACTTGCCCCTTAAGGAACTCTAGATTCATCAAATCACAGAGAAAATGTATAGCATATCACTGACAGATTTACTGCTATTTTATTGCTATTTATTAGATTTATGGCTACTTTTAAAATGTATACAACCCTCTTTTTTTTTTTTAAGAGATTTTATTTATTTATTCACGAGAAACACAATGAGAAAGAGAGAGCTGGCGGGGGGGGGGGGGGGGGGGGAGACAGAGGCAGAGGGAGAAGAACAGGCTCCATGCAGGGAGCCCGATGTGGGATTTGATCCCGGAACTGTGGGATCACAACCCAAGCTGAAGGCAGATGCTCAACTGCTGAGCCACCCAGGCATCCCACAACCCTCTTTAGAATTAAAAATAACCCATCCCTTTGGAGAGCCTCAGGGAGCCTCCAAAATGTTTCCATGGATGAAAGTCATATTGTAATATGACCACTAACATCCTAGTTCTGCAAATTAGGTGAGAACATCCCAGGATTTACTACTCTTAACCTAATACTTCTGAAATAGTTATCATCAAAGACAGTTAAGCAATATGAGTCTTTTCTAAGGTCCTTAGTAAACATCAAGACCAAAATCACTCAGTCACCTTTTCATCTAAGAGCCTTTTGCATATTAGCCATGAGGCAGTAGAGCTAACACTCTCATTTCTTTTCTTCCTTTCATATATTACAAACATTCCTGCATTTGTTTTCTGGCTAATTTCTGTTTTCTAAACAATTTCCCATTTCTATATCTGCTACATTTTATATTTCTGAGAGAAAGGAGAGTTTACTAAAGACAAGGACTCCAGCCCAGCACTATGGCTGCCTCATGATAGACTAAAACGGGAAATGGAACACCACCAGGGGCTTAGGCAGTTACTGTCGGTTCTGTCTCTAGGGAGCTACTGAGTTTCTGTCTGCTTTGTGTTTTTCAGCAATTACTCTTCTAGACACACATGGCCAAATGTGGCTGCTCTGGTTTAAGAGAGCCTTGAGATCTCTACTACACTTGGCGAATAATCTCATTTCCCCTAAAGTACAGACTCTCCAACACTGCATATTAGAATTCCTATTCCCAGGCCCGATCTTTTTGATCTTGGTGCAAAATTAACTTGTCATGCAACAAAATCTTTTAAAATGAAGTTTCAACTTACCTGGAGTTCAGTCATTATATAAATGATATCTCACCCTTCCCAGTGGTGGAAGAGAGAGGGGAGAAAGGAGAGAAAAAGGAGAGGGACTGTCCAAGAGACCTAATCTTGCAATCACAAGAGCTGTGATTTCATGGAGTGAAACTGATAGCTAGAGTAATGGGGACAACACCACCAGCTAGGAGTAAGAGTTTTTTAAGCATGCTAGATTTTATATTCTAAAATCACACTTAGAGATTTATTAGAGATAGCTAACAAGAAGAATTTATGACTGAAAGGCTCCTTAAAGATTCTCAGGCCTCCTCACTCATTTGAGAGCTGAGAAGTGTAATGACCTGCCCAACGCTAGCAAGTACAGTTCAGTGCCCCAATCAGGCTTCCAGTCTCTTGACTGCTAACTCAGTGACCACTTTTTTCATGCCAGAAGATCAAGATCTTTCATTCATAAAAGACGGCAGCCTTACCGAGGGGCATGATGGAGAGGTATTTGCCTCGGAACTTGCTGGTGATTTTGATTTCCTGTCGCAATGTCCAGCCATTTTTGGACTCGGCATGGTGTGCAGCAGCAGGGGGATGATGACTCACCTTGAAGAAATCAGTGGTTCAGATTCAGACAGAAGGAGAAAGAAAAGATACTGCCTCTGAATTGGTGATAAACACCCAAAGTGCACACTTGACATTTTTATATTCACAACAGTAGGTGAGTACCAGGGCCTCCAGTGTTGAAGCCCTAAAGGAAAAGAAGGCAGTCTGGGGTGACAGGCGTGGAATTTCTACAAACGGTAACCCCCAGGGGTAACAACCAAAAAGACATCCCTTTCTTTAAAAAGTAAACGTGTCACAGTCCCGAGGTTCCTTTACCTGCTCACAGAGGGAACGGTACCCATTTTCCTCTAAGCGGTCTAGCTCAAAGGTCTCCCCAAGGAGTGGGTTGAATGGCTTGCTGGTACGGAAGACAGTAGTGGAGTAGGAGGACACGGTGAAAGCTGCAACATAACAGAGCTGTTCTAGAGAGTTCTCACATTTTGCAGCTCGGTCTAACAGCTCGTGGTATTCCAGATCTTCAGTAAGGCGCTGAAGCATGGATAAGGGCTCATTAAAGTTCACCTGTCAGGAAAAGAACAGATTTAAAAACTTTGCCCACACATCTATAAGAGACAGCTGAATATCTGCAGGTGGAGAGATATATCGAGATGTTGAGATGATAAAGCAAATCACTGGGAAGAAAAGAGGCCTTTGCTTTGCTCAGGAGACCACCTCTAAGATCTAACCTATAAGTAACACACTCTCCCTGGCCAACTGTCCATGTCAATGAGCAGTATAAATCAGTTTTCATTTATTTCACTAAGTGTAAGCTCTTTGAGATCGGAACCGTGCCTCTTTGTTCGTCACTGCATGTTTGAGAGCCATCGATGCTTTACCCATAGGAAACTGGTATCGAATAGGTATAGAAAGAAGGAAATAAAAGAAGAAATGTATTTTAGCACAAGTATACCCAGAGAGGGAGTGAGGCATTTAAAATTCTTGAGGAAGAAAATAAAGGATAATAAGTTATAAGTAGAGGTTTATCCTGACTGGTGAAAAGAAAACATTACAAAAGTTAGCTTCTATTCCTGGACAAGACGATTGCTAATGATTGTTTCAGATCTCTATCAGGGCAGGATTCTGGTTTCTTCTGTGAGGCTGGACAGTTGTGTTCTGGACTGGAGTGCTCATGACGGGGGTTGACTTAGGGCTGTGAGTGTTTCTGCCTTTCACATTTCAAAGCCAACTTAGGGCTTTCAACTACAGGATAAAGCAAGTATGTGTGTGTGCTTCTGTTGGGGAGAAGATGTTCATTTATACCCTTAATTGAGCCCTCATGTGTGCCAGACCCTATACTACCCACTGGGTATAAAGAGATGTGAACATAAGAGACACTGTCTCTCCAACTCCCCCCAAAAAGAGTTAGCTTCTAAATTACCTATTTGAAATTTAAGATGACTTTACTACTTAAGAAATTACTGTAAAAACAGGTTAGGTTCCCAGGCTAGCCCACAAAGCTTACTTTAGCTTTACAATACAACAATCTCGCTGAACAAGCCTGCATATCATTAGCCTGAGTCCTGAATCCAGAGAACAGAGGAAGGAGGAAAACAATTCCCCTTCTATTGAATAGAGCTGGCCTAGAGCAATATTTCAGCAAAAACAAACAAACAAAAACACTTCTCTTTCCTACGATCCCACCTCTTTTTCTGCATTTTTGCCCAACCTCCTACCCACCAATCCCTGAACCACATACTACCCCGCAGTGTTCACTGCCCTCTCAATTGTGAAGTATCTTGTAATTTCCACTATAACAAACTTTACAAAGTATAAAGGAAAAAATTTATCTGAGATGCCATTACCCAAAGATAACCATTATATTTTCATGTTTGTTTCTATGCATTTATACATTTAAAAAATAAAAAAATAGGCTAGAGTCTGCTTTTTCTCTGAGAAACACACCCAGCATTTCTCCATGGGAAATTTCCCAGTGAATGCAGAGCCGCTGCACCAACGTTAGAACACAACATTAGGACTTACCCTGCTTCAACTAAAACGGGGTCACACTACAAAATCCCTCTCAATACTGAGAGATACTTAGAGAAGAACAGTGGACGAAAAAATGCATACAGAGGGGTAATGGACTAATATGGCTCAAATCCTCAAGAGTCTTTTTACGGAAGGTACTTAGAAACTATGCCAACAAAACCTCTCATTGGCAGAGTTTCAGGCCACGTGAAGTAATGCTTGCATGCATGTTGAGGAAAATGGGATGGGTATGTGCTCCACGGGTGGCTACAAGACATATGGGCACAGCCTGGGCCTAGAATCAGTGCATCCTTAAGCCCTAGCTCTTCTTCACACTCACACTCACACACACACACACACACACACACACACACTCACACACTGCCCTGGCCACCAACAACTGTTTCAGGAACTCAAGTTTCTCTAAAGGCACCAAGCTTTTCATATTGGTCATTTTATCACCCAGAGGCCCAATAGGGAAACAAATGAATCCGCGAATTAAAGCAGAAGGAAGGAAGGAATTCATTACACGGCTGATGGAGACTTAGCCGGCCGAGGAAGACAATTTGGAGATCACAACAGCAGGAGGCCATGAGCACGGGGCTGGAGGAACAAAGAGAGGCAGTGGTAGAACCATGGCGCAGAGGCCAGAGGCCAGAGGCACTCGGCAGTAGCTAAAGCCTCAGGGGGCCTGTCCAATGGAAACCAAAGCCACACAGCCATTGCCAAAGCACTGCCCAGGAGAGAAGGCATGGCCAGGGTCCCCCGCAAACTCCTACTGGTGCCTCACCCTGATGGAGCCCAGCCGGGTGCCAAAGCCCGGAAGCCTGAGAAATAGTCTAGAGGAACCAGCTCTCCCGTGATGCATCGCAGCGCAGGCAGAGGGCGAGGACTAGAGCTTTGGGCAAACAGGCAGAGAACCACACACCTGCCATGGCAATGTCAACAAGGAACTAGTGGTAAAGGAGACAGCGAGGTCACCCATATTCAGAAGCTATTTCTGAGCAGGGACTGCCTTTCCCGCTTACCTCCCCACTACTTTTTGTAAGACACCAGGAAAGTGGGGCTTCTTTTTAGGCCCCCAGTAAACCAATGCTTTTATGTGTCTATAGGGTGCTAACTCATGGCCTTTTCTTGTTAACAGTTTTCTAACAAAAGTCCTACACACTTCCATTTAAATCTATTTGTTTTCTAAGACCCAGTTAATTAATTACTTCAACATTTGCTAAATAGTATATGTGCCAGGCACTGGCTAAGCATCAAAGATATGAAGACCAGGGCAGCCCCGGTGGCACAGCGATTTAGCGCCGCCTGCAGCCCAGGGTGTGATCCTGGAGACCTGGGATCAAGTAGCACGTCGGGCTCCCTGCATGGAGATTGCTTCTCCCTCTGCCTGTGTCTCTGCCTCTGTGTGTGTGTGTGTGTGTGTGTGTGTGTGTCTCTCATGAATAAATAAAATATTTTAAAAAAAAGATATGAAGACCAGTAAGACACAGTCCCTACCCAAGAGGAACGCAGTCTGTGGAGAGGCAGAAGGCACGTTGGTCCCTGAGACCCAAGAGGGGAGGAGAATACTTTCTGTATGCTACCCGCCCCCTCCATTCTTTCCTTCTTCTGCAAGAAAACAGAACCCCCCAATGTTTAACTAGGCCATGCCACTGACAGTAGGAATCTTCCTTTCCAGCTAGCTGTGGCCATATAACTAAGTTCTGGCCAGAGACTGAAGTGAAACTAGTTCATGCAACTTCCAGGAAGCACTCGTAAAAGACAGGGCATGCCCTTCTCTTCCCTTCTTTTTGCTGACTGGAATGAGACGCTGATGGTCCCAGCTGGAGCAGCCACTTCAGACTTAGAAACTGAGGCCACAGATAGCAGAGCAACAGGATAGAAAGAAGCCCAGTCCTGAGATTGTAGAGAATGGTACCAGCCCTGGATCCCCAACTTCTGGACTTTAACACGAGAATGAGTTAAGCTAGTATTTGTTTAAAGCAGGGGTTGGCCAGCTTTTTCTGTAAAAGGTTTGATAGTAAATATTTGTATGGCCCTCAAAGCCTAAATATTTACTATCCCATATGACACTGCCATATGGTCTCTGTCATAGCTTCTCAACACTGCTATAGGATGAAAGCAGCCAGACAATAAATTGCATGAATGACAGTCACCGTGTATCAACACAACTTGAGGGGCACTAACATCTAAATTTCATGTAATTTTCACATCATGTCCTCTTTTCCATTCTTTTGAAATATTTAAAAATACAAAAACCCTTCTTAGTTTGCGGGCTGCATAGATAGCAGCCAGATTTGGCCTTGAGGCCCACAGTTTGCAAACCCTGGGTTTAGACAAACAGATTTTGGCTTTGCTTCTTTAAATTGATCCTATGTGTAACAGACACACTATGTGTACAACACCAGGCAGATGGTAGGCACTCAGTAAATGCTCATGTAATGAGTGAGCAATGTTGGAACACAACCTGTTGGAACACAAGGCAGAGCCAACTCACCCTGACCGGATGCATGGGTGAAAGCTTGCTAAAGAGATAATGGTAGAGCTGAATCCTGAAGGCTATTAGCCACAGAAAAAGAGAAGCGGCAAGGGTGAGTGGGGAGCTGATGAAAGTTTGGGCAGAAAGAGCAGTCTGTGCAAATGACCTAAGGGGGAGAAAAACCAAGATGCCTCCGCATACCTGAACGTGACTCTGAATGACTAGATCACCAGTGTAGGTGGAGCCCGGTCCAAGGGAGGAAGTACCAGGCCCACTAAAGAATCTGGACTACTCTCAAAGCCAAAAAGGATCCAGTTAAGGATTTTAGGCAAAGGAGTGACATGACTACGTTTGTAATTTTAAAAAGGTCATTTTGGCAGCAGTGAGGACAGACTGGAGGAGGGCAAGACAGGAGGCAAGGAGGTCAGTCCAAACACCAACTTCATCATGGAGATGGTCCTCATCTTCCCATAGTGAACGGACTGTTTTTTGCTCCTATGCTTCTGTGCTTTCCCAAGCTGTGTATGGCCAGCACCTCCCATTAGCGCTACCATAGAGAGTAAAATTCTGTACCTGTCTGCACTTCTGTTTTCAGCTACATGCTTTTAGAAAAACATAAACTATGCTAGATTTATTTGTACATGCCCCCAGCAAACCGAGCTTAGGAATCTGCTCATATATAACTGCCATTAAACAAATGCATCTGATTCTAAGTGATCTGGAAACACACCAGATCTACAGATTACATTAAAGCGGCTGATTCTCAGGCACAGTTTATGATTATAAGGGTAACAAAGGCCATGCCACACACACAAACCGCCTCTCAAGGGCGTGGGACCATCACGGCAGCACTCTTCCCACTAAGGCCCAAGAGGCCCGAGAGGCTCTCTGGGCAGGCCCAGATGTGCAGGAACCTCACCGGCATGGGGATCTTTGAGAGTTCTTTTCCAATGCAGTTCTTCATGATGCTCCATAAATTGAGGCTATAGTTTGGCTTGTATGGTATTCTAGTTCTCTTTTCCTTCTTGGTCTCTTCCAGTTGATGCTTGTACTAAGGGCAAAAACAGGGCCATTCAATCATCCACAAGGAACAGAATACCCAGTATTTATAACCTTCCCTCCCACCCCCCACCCCCCGTTTAAAAAAAGAATCAGTATCTCACAGTGCCTTATAAGCAAATCCTTGGGAATCACACCGTCCCTCACCCGATGGCACCCAAATGAGAGTCACCTGTTCATCCAGGCTGATGTCACTGCTGGCCCCACTGATGTTGCTGCCAGTACGTCTACACAGGTGGGAAACATGTGAGAATCAGAACAAAGATCAACAACTATAGTTGGGTCCTCGCCAGGTCTCTACAAAGCGGAATGCAAAGCACGTTGTGCAAACTTCGGAACGGGTGACTAAATGACAACACTTAGAATATGCATGAATTTAAACATCTCTGGAGAACCTGCTCATGTAAACAAGTTGGCAGTTTTCCACTCATTTAAGGAAGAGTCCAGATCTTGGTTAACATTGACAACTTCAACAATCCAACTGAAACATTTCTCAACTTTGATGGTCAAGATGTGTTCATTTTGGGGTGAGTCACGGACAACTTACTTGTGGCCCAAGTTTTCAGGCATAGTGATGATCTCAGGAGCATCAAAAAACTCATTCTCATCATCTTCATCACTCATGTCTCCTTTGCCAGAACAGCACTGATCTGCAAGGAGAGGAAAACCATTTGTTTACTTTGGCTCTATTTACCAAAAACCCAGCAGGATCTTTACCATGCTGACTACCAACATGGCAACACATGGTAGAACCAGAAATAAACAGCTCTAATTCCCTGGCACAGGTCACTGATCCTGGAGAGTTTGCAGTTCTTCTATCAACAGCAGAAAACCACCTGGCTCATAGCGACCTACCTTTTCCAGAACCAGCACTGCCAGGAGTGTTTGCCGGCAGCACGGTGGCCCCCCGGAAGGCCCTCTCCAGGTGATTGTGTTGCTTTGCCAGTTGCTCCAAGGTCTCTTCCAGCCGGATACGCTGGTCTCTTTCGTACTGAAGGGACTTCTGCCATTTCTTACTATGGGTCTGGGCTAACATGAGGAAATCTCTACAGGCCTGTGTGGAGAAAGGGTTGTGTCAGCTCAACGCAGCTAGTCAGAGATTTCCCTCAGGTCTCTGTCAGCCCATTAAGTAACCTTGTTCTAGGAACTTTAGCAAATTACAGTAAAAGACTCCTTGTTATTCTACAGTATCAGGGACAGCCAGCTCCATGATGAAATCAAGGTCAACGCCAGAAAAAAAAAAAAACTGAACATGGTTGTCATGGTTCTTTTATATATTCCTAGTCATGGGACTAAAAAATGCCAAGTGAGCAGCAAACCCAGACTAAGTATTTGTGGCAAGATCGCAAAGGACTATGTGAACTGAACCAAAAGAAGCAATACTAACTAAAGGAAAAGATGAGAAGCAGAGGGTAACTGCTTTCAGTATATTCCTGACCACACTCACACACTGGTCACAAAGTTGATGAATTCAGATGCTGAGAACAGGGAGTCTGCCTTGAATTAGATCAAATTGGGAAAAGTAACTGGTTTTTATTTTTGAAGAGATACAGGTAACCTTAAAAACTAGAAGCCTACCTGAGGCATCAAAGAAGGGATCTACAGACAAAACACAGACCTGATCACATTATCCCCTTCACTGGCTCCCCACTGAGAACCTAACTATTGGGTTGAACGTCCAGGGCCCTTCAGGTGGCCACCACTTGCCTTGGATCCTCCTCCTCAGGCAGTCGGACCTACCCCTGCACCTGATGGTGGAGCCACACTGACTGGCTCGCCATCTCCTGGACACACAGTTCTTTTGGGCCTGCTACTGCACGCATATGCTAGTTGTGTTGCCAGGAATGCCCTTTCCTACCCACTTCCTCAACTTGGCCAAGTCCTCTCCATTCAAGATCTATGGCAAATGTTACTTCTTCGATAATTTCGTAAGCTGCCAATCTCTCCTGTGCATTTCCATAGCACTTTGTGCACACTTGTTTTAAATCATCCACAGCAGTATTGTGACTGATTTTGTCTCTCCAGGTGGATTATGAGTGACCTGAGGATACCATTTATACCCTAATTATATACATCTCTCCAAATCCGAACTTAGTTGCTCTGTACATACTAGGAGCCTGACAAAACCTGCTTAATAATGAAGGAGGCAATGTAAGCTTAGAAGTCTATGCCCTGTTATGGAGAAACTAAAAGGTAAACAGATTATCTACTCCCATGGTCTCAACCTTTGCCTATAGGCTAATGATTACAAAATCAGTAATTCCAGCTCTGCATTCATGGAGGCAGAATATCCAACTGTCTGTCCAATGGTTCAAGGTGATCTCAAAATCATTGGATCCCAGAGTGAACTCACCACGTTCCCTTTCGGACTCTGCTTCTCCCTTGGGTGTTTACTCTCCATGCCAGGAACAGTACCAGGGCCCTTTCCCCTGCCCAAGCAAGTAAACTAGGAGGCACCCTGGATTCTTAATTTTTCTTCCCTCCCCACTTCCGATTATCAAGTCTTAGTGATTCTTCTTTAATATTTCTGGGGTCTGTGTACACTTCTTTCCATCCTCCACACCCAGAGGAGTTCTACTTGTGTTGGGGCTGTCATCACAGCTCCATCCAACTATCTAGCTATGGAATTTGGGGCAAGTTATTTATTTAACCCATCTGTGCCTCATCTGTAAATAAAAAATGATGGCAACTATCTCAGAGTTGTCGCTTTATGTGTAAAGCACTTAGAAATCTGAGGCTTACAGCGTTCAATAAGGTGTTAGCTATTATAATTAAGCCTGCATCAAAATCGGTCTTATCCTCTTCTAATCCACTCTACCAAGCCCATTTAGTAGGATCTGTACCCCATCCCCTCCCCCACACTTAATCCCTGCCAGCCTTATCTCTAGCTACTTCCTTGTTCTAACCCTCAATTAGTCACTTCCAGACTTTGGGAGAGAGGAAAGGGATCCACATAAGCCACACCTCTACCTAGATCAATTCTTCTCCTTCATTTCTTTTACAGATGCTGACCGGATACTGACCGTAACTAAAGTTTAGTGAAAGACAAAAGACAATGATACGTTAGGCACTTTGCTGAACCCTTTACAGTAATTGTCTAATAGAAGCCTTTCAACAATCCTTTGAGCAACTACTGGTATCATCACCATTTACAGAAAAGAAATTGAGTTCACAGAGGAAGCTGGTTATGTAGATAGTTAGCTAAGGCAGCTGGACTTCAGGGCCTCAAGCTCTACATTGTCTTTTTTCATAGGAAGACTCTCTCTTGTCTTTCAGAACTTAGAGGAGGAGTAACCTTCTCTAATCTGCCTGGTCTGAGATCAATACCTCCAATGTACCACGTCATCACAGCCTGTGCTCCTTTCTATCATGGCACTTGCCACACTCTATAATGGTCCGTTTACTTCTCTGGCACTTCACTAGAGAATAATCTCCTGGAGGGCAAGGGCCACAGCCACATTTGCTTTTTTTTTTTTTTTTTAATATTTTATTTATTTATTCATGAGAGACACACACAGAGAGAGAGAGAGAGAGAGAGAGAGGCAGAGGGAGAAGCAGGCTCCACGCAGGGAGCCCGACGTGGGACTCGATCCTGGGACTCCAGGATCATGCTCTGGGCTGAAGGCAGGCACTAAACTGCTGAGCCACCCAGGGATCCCCCACCCTGGAGAAGCTTTCTATCCCCTTGCACAGTGCCTAGAACAGAGATGGTACTCAACAGATGTTTGCTGAATAAGCAAATAGGTACACTAACAGCATCAAATTTATTTCCCTGGTTAGACTTTTAGATTCTTCTTAGTAGTAAGAACAGCTATGTCCTGGGCAATCAAGAAATTGAGTGAAATGTATTCCTCCTTTGATAAAACTGCCTGTTTTGAGAGGTGAAGTTAGCATGTTAACATTGAGGCCTTGGCACTATCACCTAAAAAATATCAAGGAAACAACATAAGGATAAAAAATGCATTTCAAGCAGCAACCAGCTCTGAGGGAGGCAAAGGCAGTGCACTGGAGAGAAGAGAATGAAAAAAAACAGAACTTACCTCTGATTTCCAAAGGATCGTTATCTTTTTTTTTTTATTTATTTATTTATGATAGTCACAGAGAGAGAGAGAGAGAGGCAGAGACACAGGCAGAGGGAGAAGCAGGCTCCATGCACCGGGAGCCCGACGTGGGATTCGATCCTGGGCCTCCAGGATCGCGCCCTGGGCCAAAGGCAGGCGCCAAACCACTGCGCCACCCAGGGATCCCCCCCTTTTTTTTTTTTAAAGATTTTATTTATTTATTCATAGACAGAGAGAGAGAGGCAGAGACACAGGCAGAGGGAGAAGCAGGCTCCACGCTGGGAGCCCGATGTGGGACTCGATTCCAGGATCACAACCCCAGGCCGCAGGCGGTGCCAAACCACTGCACCACCGGGGCTGCCCAAGGATCGTTATCTTTGACATAAACTCTAAACATTTACAACATGGGGAAGAACAACCCCCCAAGGAACAAAGATGGAACTTTCTTTGAAAGAAAAATCCAGACTGAGTTTCAGTTTTATGAGAAATTTTTTAATCAAGAGATGTCTGACTTAGTTAATTTTTCCACATCAGAGGAGAAGAGGAACTGCCATGGAGCAGGGATAAAGGCAACATCCAGTGTCAGGAGACTGTTGTCTCCTGAGCTGTTCCATTTAAAAAGTACCTTTATTTACTATTGGTCAACTGACCTGATTTATGAGGTTCTCCTGATCATAAGAGGACCTGAAAAACAGGCACACAGTCACTGAGAAGTAAGTGGGACAATTTGGAAAAAGAGCACATGATTAGGCATTAGAAACACCAGCATTTGTGCTGATCAGCAGACCAGTCCTGGGAGATAGCTGAGCATCCTTAAGTGGACAAAAATGATTAGTCTCTTCTACCTGGTGTGTGAATCAGAGCACTGAAGAAAACGTTCAACATTTCGGCAAATGATATGAAAGTCAAGGTCATCACAACTTTCTATTGAGTAACAAAGGGGTTTTAAGTGTGAAAAAATGAATTTTCCCCTGGTCACAAGACCTTTGATCTCTAGAAGCCACGTGGACTAAACTAGTTCCAAGCAGACGTCTTAGTATCACTTCCTGAACAAGGGAAAATCTGGCCCCAGTGAATTAATATCATCCCATTTAATTGGACAGGGGAAAAACCAGCATAACTCCTTTCTCAGAATACTCTTCTCACTTGCCTTAGGAAACATCCTCTGGTGTTTTTGTGTGCAAGTTAACTGAAACAACTTGCCAGGTGAGAATCAGTCACCAGTAGAGAAGAAACAGTGCTGTTTATCTTATTTTAATTTTTTAAAAAGATTTTTAATTTATTTTAGAGAGAGAGAAAGTGAGAGACAGAGTACAAGCAGAAGAGGAGGGGTGGAGGGAGAGAGAGAAGCAGACTCCTCACTGAGCAGGGAGCCTGACAAGGGCTCCATCCCAGGATCCCGGAATCATGATCTGAGGCAAAGGCAGACACTCAACTGACTAAGGCACTCAGGTACCCTGAGACAGTAGTGTTTTATTAAACTATGTATTCACTTCATACCTATCAGCCAGTATCTGAAATATATCCCAGATGCCCGCAGTGCTCTGAGTTTACCTAGAGCCCAGTGCTCAAGCAACTGAAGCATTCCACATGCCACTAACAGCCACCCAAAGCTGGAGTCATGAGGAGGCAGGACCACCGGTCCCTTCTTGTTGAAAGCAAAGTACCCAAATTTGAGCACTTTGTCCAGGACCCAGAACTACCTCTGAAATCAAGGACTACAGATGGGACTAACTAGTATTATAAAGTTCTCCCTAATACCTGGCTGGCCTCACTTACCACACTGTAGGCCAGATGCACTAGCAAAGTACCTGCAGCTCACACACCGCAGTGGAAGGGATCCTTGGAGATCACTCACATCCAACAAATCAAGTTAGATAAGAACAAATAAATAAAACCACAACCCACAGAGGTTAGGAGACTCTATTCCCATCACCATCAGAGGTCCTGCTGGCTACAGAAGTAAGGCTAGACTCCGGACTCCTCACTCATTCCCAGGCTGGAGTAGACTGTCAGAGCAGAGTGTGAAAGTCATTCCATTGGTGCAGCCTGTTCTATTTCATGCAACAAGAAATGTGACTCGAATCCCCTGAGCAGTGAAGCAGGACCTACTGTTCTGTGCTTTGTCAGTGACAATTTTCCCTGGCATCCGGGGAGAATTACCCTTGGAAGAGGGAAAGAATGAAAAGGCCACACAAGCGCCATCTGCACTTACATTGATCATGGCATTGGATGTTATCCTAAAGAGTGTGGCCCGTTCGTTGACCTGCTTGATCTTCTCATTGCTCTCAGCAGGCAACCGCAGGGCCTCCAGCTCGCTGAGGGAGCGCTGCAGCGCTGTGCCGTGCTTGGCTATCAGGTCGTTGCACGTGGTCAAATCCTCCACTTTGCTGGACAGCGTCCGGAGGGTATTCTGGAGCTCCGTCTTGTCCGTTTGTGAGACAGACTCTTCATCTCCTGACTCATCTGTAGGAGCCAAAAGGTGAGTGATAAGGCTCCTTAAGTGACTCCAGAGCTAAGAGTCAGACCCAGCCAGCTCTGTCCACAACTAAACCAGCAGGCCTCATGCTGTGCATTCAGATCACCTGAGAGCTTGCTGTCACCAGACAACATGACTAGGATGCGGTCCACAGCCCACCTGTACCACAAACACCCAGGGTGGTCCTTCCTTTTTGTCCTCCAGGGCACACAAGTGCAAGCATGTATTTCACTCATGCTTTTCTTTTTCCTTGCAGTTTTACTGAGTCATAACTGACATACAGCACTGTATAAGCATAATGATTTGACCAACATATATTGCTAAATGATGACCACAAAAAATTTACTAGCATCCATCTTGTCATATAGACACACACAAAAAGGAAAAAATGTTTTTTCCTTGTGATGAGAACTTCTACAATGTACTCTCTTAGCAATTATCAAATATACCATATAGTGTTAACTGTAGTCATCATATTGTATGTTACATCCCCAATATTTACTTATAACTAAAAGTCTGTCCACCTACATTCAATTTCCCCATCCCCCACCCCTGGGGATCTTCTTCAAGGTGCCAAGGCTCTGGCCCCACCACAGAAATCGATTTGGCTGATGTGAAGCAAGGCCCAGGAACCTGCATTTTGAATAAGCTGCCCAGGCCATTCCAATGCACACTGATGTTTGACAACCAATGATCCCTGCAAGACAGAATGGAGAAGCTAAATGGCTCCTGGGATTGGAAATGAACAGATGAGCCCTGTAACTCAAGTCTGAGGATTCCAATCTAGTCCAAGCTGATCATTACTTCCAAATCCACCACCATCCATTGGGTGATGGGCAAGCCCTGTATGAAGTGGGTTGAGAATCGCAGTCTGGCTCTTTGTAAATAATGTCCACATCACCAAAAGACTCAGTAAATTTACCTTCTCCAAAGGAGACCTCAGGAACGTTGTGATGAATTCATTTGACACTAAAGCCACCCCTGCATTGAAAGCAATGCAAGGTCCTCTATGAAAGGACCCTCCAAGTAGTGTGTCAAATAGAGAGCTATGTTGTACCTCTCACTATTACGTTTATACCCAACACTCTGCAACTGCAAAATGCTTTTCTAGCAATGTCACTTCCTTTGGGGGAGCTAACATCGGCACTCAAACCAAAACAAAAGAAAGAAGAAAAGGCCTTCCCTATCTGCTAGTCCAAGAGGCAGGACTAAAGTCAAAATACAACCCATTACAAAAAAACCTCACAAAGCAGTGAATTTTCCTTTCACTGTTTAAAAGATATTAAATACGGTGTGGGAGAGGACAGGGGATAAGAAAACAAGAGATGAACAAAAACCAGCAGGTAATCACCCTGGTCAGCTCTGAGTGGATGAGCTCAATGTGATTAAACTATCAATAAGTGGGGCATGGGAAATCCTATGATTTTCCTTGAAGAAAAATCAAAACCTGGTTAGATCGCTCTTTTTCGTGAAATTAAAGTAGCAAAATGAAGAGTTTTCATGGAAAGTATCCCATCTAATGTTTCTTGCAATCTACAAAGACTGTCTGTTTCAACTCCATTAAAAGATCCTTAAGTAAGAAAACACCATGAGAAAAAGAAGTAAAGATAGAACCAAACCATGAGTTGTAATAATCATAAGATGGCCCTAGCAATAAAATATTTCTTTCTTGAAATGTTAAGATAGTCAAATGGCATTAGCCAAAAGGATAACCATCATGGCTCTAGGACAGAATTTCTCAAACTCTGTACTACTGACATTTGGGCCCAGATAACTCTGTTGGGAGGGGTGTCCTGTGCACTGGAGGAGGCTTAGCAGCCTCCCCAGCCTCCAGTCACTGGAGGCCCAGAGTACCACCGTCCCTCAGCTATGACCACAAAAACACCTCCAGACACTGCCTGATGACCCCTGCAGGGCAGAACTGGCTGCAGGTGCACACCACCAACCCAGGAGAAATGTTGCATAATGAGGAGAAGCCTGAGTCATCTAGGAGATGGTGATAGTGTCTAGGAGGGGCAAATAGGAAGCTCCCTACCCGATTCTGCCAGCATCTTCACAGCCTTTGCCTTGGCCAGTTCCAGGGCGGTGACCCAGCGCTGCCGCTCCACTTCCGAGCTGGCCTTCAGATGGTAGGTCTGAGCGCCCCCATTGGAGATGATGAAGTTGCACGAGTCTTCCACGGTGATGTTGGCTGTGGCGAGGTTGATGGTACCCCGGCAGGTGTGTCTCATTTCAGCCTTTGACCTGCAATAACGAGACAAAGGCAAGCCAAGTGGAAAGTGGATGGGTGGTTTATCCTTCACCACCTTCCTTGTCTTCTCGTAGCTCTAAGTCTTCCGAAAATACAGCAGCCTTGGGAAACAGCAAGCTCTACGATTTCCCTCACACAGCTCCCTAAAGTTCCAGAAACGACCAGTTGGGATTTCCTTTCACAGACATTAAGTGGGGTTTCTGAGTCAGACTGTATTGCTCTGCTGTTCCTCTCACCCTCGGCTTTTTAGAAATAGCCTTCACAGAAGTTTAATGACATACACTGTTAATTCAGCAATTTTAAGTGTGTAATGCAGTGAGTTTTGACAAATGTATACAATTGTGTCACCACCTCCACAATCAAGATATAGAACATGTCCATCATGCCATAAAGTTCCCTCGTGCCCTTTTGTAGTCAGGGATTACTTCTTATTTAGCAAGTTATAATTATAAAATAGAGGTTTATAAACTCATGCAACATAATTTTTTATAACAATCTCACTCCCTCAGAGGAAGAATAGCTCCATTTTACACACACTGAACCACCGCCCTCCCCCCAACTACAACTCAGCCCAAATGAGAACTGTCACACTACGCTTAGAATTATATTGCATAAGCATAAAGAGCACTGAGATGCTCAGGGTACTAAATATTGACTACAGCACAAATGATATGAAAGAGGAAAAACTAGCCTTCTGGGGGAGTTAAGAAAGAATAATCATAGAAGAGTCACCAGGTAGTATAATCTTTTGGGAATGTGTTCTTTCCAAAGATCCACTGACCTCTATTGGTAGGGACTCCTAAGCCATCCTATTAATAGCTAAGAAAGATTCAGCAAATCTGTTCTCAGAGGATTGGGTGTAAAAATTTTCCCCATCTCTACTGACAGTTCTATTAATAGACTAACTTTTGAACTTTGCATCACTATTTGGTGGCAACAAGCTACTTCACATAAAATACCAAGCTGTTAGCACAATTGAGTATACCTTGCAAATTGAGCTGATTTTCCCACTACCTGCTGGTTATGCCCAGAAACCTGCATGTTGAGACCACAGTTTTCCCTGACCAACTTGGAACATAAAGAGGTCAAAGTCCTTTGCCAACTGCCAAAGTGCAGAGCAGAGCCATTTCCCTTTCACTGGAGCCAAGTGACCCAACACACCTGGCACATCCAGAATTCCTGCATGCCAGAAATGACACACACCCCATCTCCAGAAACTAAGTCTTGGTATGTTTGAGAAAGTGTTTACTGTGCTTAGGAAGACAGATTTGCTATTGTTCAGTGTGTCACATGAAACTGGTTTTTCTTCCCCAAATGCACAAATGAGCAGTATGGGATGGCCAGGGGGGGGGTCTCAACGGCCTGAGCCATTTTCTACCGTCTGCACCTGCCACACTGTAATGTGAATCCCTGTTTTTTTTCTATTCTTACCTCCCTTCCCCCCCACCCCCAAGCTTCAGTTACATTATGAATAATGCAGGCTGAATTTCAGATCCGCAGCTGACAGGCCAGCTCACCCAGGCTTTCTACTCCAAAGGTGCTACTTGGACTTTGTACCACATTCCTGACAATCTGTTGGTACTTTTCACAAGCCACTTCCTAGGGAATCTCTTCTGCCTGGGTCATCTTTGTGAACCCACGGAGCTTCTCAAATCACATAAAGTCCGTAGCAGTTTTCGAAATACCAAGGAACCCTAGAAGTAAGGCAGGCTTGACTCAGGGGCTCTTGGGTTCAGGCAGATACACCTACGTTTATAAATGATTAGTGTACGGGCTGGAAAGGTATGATTTTCAGAGTGCAAGGTAAGTTCTTCAGGCACTACAGTATTAATTAAGTGGTACTTTCTGACTAGAAAGCACCCTTAAAAGGCCAGCCAAAATAATAACTCAGTCTCCGGAAGCTAGTCAGGAAAATGAATGCTAGGGCTCTGTCACCATGCATCTGGGAAGGCTGGAATTGTACATATGGTTTTTAAGTAATGGGATATCCATGTAACTGTGTACATAAGGAAGACTAGGATGGGTAAAAAGAGGGAAGTGGCCCGCCAAAGCCCATCAGGACAATTCATCACAGGATAATGGGTCTTGGAAGTACAGGATGTCAGTTAAAAAGAAAATCGTATTTTGTAAAAGGTGAATGGAGGATATGACAGGTTTTGGAGGCATGAAAGGCAGGAGGAATGACAATGTAGCTAAATAGCCCTAATGAGATGGGGACCTGAATAATTCTGTTAAGAAGAATAAACTACCAATAGAGTTGGTAGGAAGTACTCTGATGTGATTTTGAAGGTAGTACACAGATTTGATAACTGTTTCCTGTTGCCTGGTTGGTTTGTGGGTGGGACCATCCTAGCTGGCAAAGACAGGCCTATGCACATTTCCCAACATGTGGTTTGGTATGCTTTAGAAGGAGCTTGATCTGTAGTCAGACAGGTACCACTAGCTCTTGTAAGAGAGAAGTTGAAAGTGGTTACAAATACATGAAGAGATGGCAACATGTAAGTTCTTAATGTCCAGCCAAGATCAATATTGATTAAGACTGGTACTGATCAAAGAATCAACTGGCCTGAAGTGGATCTGGTAAGAACTTGAATGAGGAAATATGACCACACAAGTAAGGCCCTCAGCTGATACACAACTTCTAAAGATAAGCAATCAATGTTAATAGTGACTTACAAGATAAGTTAGGATATGAATCAATTGAACATTAGAATGATGGTCAGTGTAACAGGAAAACAGGAACTTAGGTAGCGGAAAACTTTGGAATACACTAAGAATATTAGATTAGATTTGTGATCTAATCTTAAACTGATCATCCTGGATGAGTACTTAGAAAGGTTAAAATTAAAATCAGTTCTGAATATAATAATGTAAATGATACAACTGTTCACAATGTGGCTGAAGCTGTGAGGACGTGCTAAGGCGTTTTCCACTGTCAGAGACTAGATAAGAATGTGTTCTTACTTCAACTCCCTCCAACTCCCACCTTCAATTTCCCCTCAAAATTCACTAAGAGCTGATACAATGGAGTTGATGGAAGAGATCCATTCACCCTAACTCTCCCGGCAGTAGAGTAACTACCTGCAGAAGAGGAGAAATAGAGTGAGGTGTTCTTAACAGCGTTTGGGGTCTCAAACGGAATGGTCTTTATAAAAAGACTTCAATGAGAATGCCATGATATTAAGAAGTCTCTCTTAAAGGAGACTTTTATACATTTTGTATAAAGTACACATTGTAAATGTGATCTAGAAACTTACTTGCTATAGGCAAGCAATGATCTCTATTATCTGATTGATTCATGTAACACTAACCTGGGTTTTAGGTTATGTTGGTGTGAAGAGAACTAGTTTCAAATCCTGACTCCTTAAGGCCTTGGGAGAAGTTGCTCAGCTAGGTCTCGGTTTCCTCATCAGTAAGATGGGAATGTCTCCTGACTCCCAGGATTATCCTTTGGAGTCAATGCAACCATCCACACTGTCCAGCACACGGGAAATGTTGATGTCCTGTCCCCAAACCCTGTATCCTGTCTCTAGGAACACGAGTAGCCAAAAAGCATGCTCCAGTTAGGGCAAGACTGTGAGTCACCATAAATATATACGAAACATTCCAAAACAAACACCGTGGAACAGAAGTCACTACACCAAAGACATGGCTTCTTCTTTTAATAAAACTTAAACCTAACCCACCGAAGCGACTCCAGAAATAACTGGATAGACCATTGAAATCATTCCCACGGGCGGGGGTGGGGGGGTGGGGGGGGGATCAGCGTAAATAAAAGCGGCACTAGAGTGCACATCTCCACTCCGGGCTGGCCAGAAGGTGAAAGCAGACGCCAAGTCTGGGAGAGATAAGGGAGACAAGGGGTGGATACCGAGGCCACCCAGTGCCTGGCGTCCTTGTGCCTGAACGTGGAGAGAGCAACGGCGGGTACATCAAGGGCTGCTGATAACCTTGAATTCTGGAGCCTGGGCAGAGACAGCTAAGGCTTGGGACTTTTCACAGTTAAGTTCCTTGAGAGCCACGCCTGGGCTTTGCTCTCCTCCACGCGCCCCTTCGCACCCACAGCAGCGCCTTCCTCGCAGAACTCATCACCGCACCGCGGTGCCGGTGGAACACAATGGAAGGGGAGACGCTCTCCGAACAATCGGAAAGGCCAGGGATCGAGGGGAAGGTACTGCACCGAGGGCGGGTAACCCAGCCGAGGGGGAAGGCCCAAGGCGTTCGCTTTCGCGAGGGTGGGCTCGCGTCGCCCGCTGTCAAAGCGCGCAGGTGGCGGAGAGGGGCCTGGGGCGACCTCGGCGGCGGGCCGGCTCCGGGGGCTGGCGGCGCGGGGCCCGGGGGCTGCGGTGGGGTCGGCGCCCCGGAAGCAGTTACCTGTAGTAGCTCAGGAGCCCGTTGCTCAGCACGAACCACCGCCGCTGGTAGCCTTTGATGTAATTGGTCCATTTGAAGAGCCAGCCCTCTCGAGCCGAGCCCGAGCCCCCGGCGCCCGAGCTGCCGGAGCCCCCCGCCGGCGGCGCAGGGGCCGGGCCCGCAGCCGCCACTCCCCCGGCGCCCGGGCCCGGGCCGCCTGCCGCCGCCGCCGCCGCCGCCGCCGCCGCGGTCACCGAGCCCAGCGCGGCCCCGGAGCCCGGCCCCGAGTCTCCGCGGCCGCCGCCGCCGCCTCCCACCACGGGGGGACCGGTGCCGCCGCCGCCCGGAGCCGCGATGGCCGCCGGGCCCGGCCCCACCACCCCTCTCAGCTCCGTCGCCGCCATGAGCCGCCGCCGCCCCGAGACACAGGGCCGGAACCGCCTACGAGAGCCGCCGTCGCCGCCCGGAGCGCCCCACACGGCTAGCGCATCAGCCGCGGCCGCACAGCGTCCCCGCCCCGCCAGGCCCGCCGCGGGAGGAGGGCTCGGCCGCCGGGAAGGAGGCAGCCGATTGGCGCCGCTGAGCGTCACTTGCGGAGGGCCCCCAGGACATTGGCACTTCTCTCGGGCCTGTCAGCGCACGCCGCCCAGTCAGAGCCCGGGGTGGGACGCGTCCTCCAGGCGCGCCGCTGATTGGCTTCGGCGAAGGCCAATCAGACTCGCGTGCGAGCCCATTGGTGGTTTCCCGCAGTCGAGACCGCAGAGTGTCCGGCCAATTCGGTCACCCATTGGCCAGGGCTTCCGCCACTCATTTCAGTTTGTGACCCCGTCACTGCCACGTCACCCCCTCCCGTCGCTCTGCGCTGCGTCCCTGTTTCCGCCCTTACGGATTGGTGGTTGGTTGGTGTCAGCCGCTCGGCCTTTGCTGCCATTTGCTGGACGAGCTGAGGAAAAAGGGAAGGCGTCTCGCTGCCACAGCCTCACTTGCCTTTCTCATTGGTTGGCGTGCACGTCACTCACACGTTGGCGGAGAGCCCGGACGGGGTTGGGAGACGGTTGGTTCCGGATACTGTCTGTGACCGCCGAAGCTTGGCGCTGCTGACCAATAGCAGAGAGGAGCTGGCTGGAGGCAACCAATAGAATCCGGGAAGCCCGCCAGGGGGCGTGCCCGCTCCTCCCAGCTTGTCTGGGTAGGTCGTGAGCGAGTCCTGTGCCCCAAAGCGATTTTTCCCGTAGGCGGCGGTGTTGGGGTCGCTGCTCCAGAGTTAAGACTCCTCGGTGGTTTCCTGTTTGGAAGAGGGACTCTCGGCAGTTAGCCGCGGCCTGTGTAGGGCCGCCTCCGGGCAGCCGGCTGGGAGCTGGAGGCCCGGATTCCTGCGGGGTCCACCGTCAGCTTCCCCGGTTCCCTCCTGGACCCAGGATGCACCTGACTCCCTTCCCGGGTTTGCTCATCAGCGCACCACACCCCTTCCCTCCGGGCCCTAGACTGTCCGCAGGCTCTTGTTAGAGCCCGTTGGGTTCTAACAGGTACCTGGAGGCCAGAAAAGGGGAAGTCGCGGCCAGCGCAGCTGTAGGAAAGGCAGAGCCGCTTCCGGCCGCACTCCCAAAACAAAGCCACAGGAAACCGGATCAAACCAGACTGGCCCGGGCTGGCTGATAAAGAAGGCTGGACCCCCCCACCCCGGCCCCGCTGTCACCCCCGCCCGAGCAAATACAGAAGAAAAGGCGTGAAACCCTGCTTTCAAGAAACCCCCGCCTCGTTAACTGTCAATAAATGGTAGAAACCCAAGCCCCGGCGTCGGTCCTGCCCCCAGCCCGCCTGCTCTCCCAGCCGCGGAGCGTGCTTGCAATCGGGTAAATTTTGCTGCTTGCACGGCCCGTCCACCGTGTCTGGTCTGTCCTTGAATTCTTTCTTGCAATGAGACCAAGAGCCTCCAGGGGCGTCCTTGCAGCGGGCCGGGCTGAGGCCTCAGGGCCCCGGGCTCCCCAGGGCACCGGCGGCGCCGTCTGGGGGAGCCAGGCGGGCGGAGGTGACGGCGCCCAGCGACCCTCTCCACCGGTGAGTCCCCAGCGCCCGCCTGCCGTTGTGCTGGAGAGCTGCTTGGTCCATCACCATTCCTCCTCGGCTCTGCTGTCGCTCTGGTCTACCTGGGAACCCGATGGTCTGCTAGCATTTATGAGAGACTCCTCTTCAGCGCTGAAGAATAAAGGGACACTTGCTCCTTGCAGTTGAAAGGCACTCCTAAGTGACCAAAAGTTGCATGGACGTGTCAGAGAGTATTTCCCAGGACGTGCAGCAGCCCCAAGGGGCTTTCCCTCTTACTGGTCATTAAAACTTTGGCTCATCTGGGTATGTACACAGGGCAGACCCTCCATGCTCCCAGCCCTCTCATTGTCTTAGACCTCCAGCAGAAGAAATGGAGATATTTAAGAGCGTGCTTCATGGTCACTCATGCAAGTGACACAAACAGCACACCGCGAGCTTCTACACTGGTCCCTGGACGACTGTCTGGTATTCCTAGGCCGACTATGCGGGAATCTGCCTCTCGGTCCATCTTGCCTAGCTCCAGCTGCTTCCTCTTGGACCTACTTCTGCACTCTCCGCTGTTGGTGGGGGACGGGGACCTATGAGACAGTCTGTCCCCTATCGCAGAGGTCCCGCATGACTGCCAACTCAGACAGTGATCACCATAAAATAGCCACAAGTCATTTACTCCCTGGCAGAGGACCCCACTCATCGAGATCTCTCCCTGAGGGTATGCCTTACCCACCACTTAATTAAATGTGACCCTACCCCAATAATTCAGGGATGCAAAGAGAACTGGAAAGTAGAGGCTAGTTTCACCACTACTGACCACAAAGTGGGAGAAACCAACAGGACAGACAGGAAATATTCAGACAGTCAAAGGGACCCCCATCCCTGGTGGCTATCGTTTGCCACCAACAGTTAAGAGGCCTCTCAGAACAAGAGAAGTGGGATTTTCAGAGATCTTGAAATCACGATGATGCCTCTTCCAGAGGGATCCATCCTGGGACATTTGGGTTAATGATAAGGCATAGTCTCTATTGGAGTCTTCAGGAAGGCTGTCCCTCCTGGGATTGCAGGTGTGGGAAAAAGGCTTGGGCTCCAGGGAAGCCAGGGCTGCTGGGTCATCACAGAGCATGCTGGCCACAGGTATGATTACAGAGGTGAATGGACAGCAGTTTGGGAATGCCCACAGTCCACTTGCCATTGGAACTCTCTAGAAGAGTACCAATTTGAGCTATCAGTTTCCTTAGAGAGAGCTAACTTTCCTCAGGGAAATAAGACTCCAGGCTTCTGAAAATAGGAACCCTGGTTTAGTTGCTCCTTGTTATAGGAGTCAACTCTCCCTGAAGACCATGGGAAATTCCACCTCCACCTCAAAGGCTTCCCATCCTCAAAGGCTTCCCTCAAAGGAGCCCAGTATTTTGAGACACTGGGATCAGCTCCCATTAGAAACCTAAATACGAAAATGCTTATTTTCTTTCATAACATTGCTTGGCCACCATATAAGCTAGAGGTGAGGTCTGATCAGAAAATGATAGCCTTAACTATAAAACCATATTGTAAGTCCATCTCTTCCATAAGAGACAGAAAAGTAGGTAGATATCCCTTACATCCAAGCCTTAATGGCTCTCCGAATGACCCTGACAATGTAAAACATGAACAGTGGGAAGGGGTCATTTAGGCCTTGGCCCCAGAAAAAAATTCTTGCAATAGCTCCCCTCAGGAAACATTCCAACACCGTTGGCTCCAGCCCAAACAACCAATCCCCCACCCTCCAATCGTCTACCCTCCTTTTTTTTTTTTTTTTTTTCCGATCTACCCTCCTTTACTGGACTCAGGCAAGAAGAAAAAGTTCCTCTGCCCCCTCCAGCAGGTGGTGGGTAGACCTCAGGGGACCACAGAGACCCATGTTCGCTTTTTGATGTCAGATCTCAGACAGTGCCATGAGTACTTACGCCAATTTTCTGAGGATCTTAGCAAATTTTGTTAAGGAATACAGGAACCTGACTCCAATCTTTTGATCTAACCTGGAATGACCTTCTGGGCATTCTTTCTCATTGCTGCCATATGGAGGAGGAGGAGGAGCAATTCCACATCTGGGCAGAAGAAGAACCCCTGTATATGCCCTTCATGCTACCCAGCCTAACAGATATCCAGTTGGAATGACCACTGTACCTCAGATAGACCCTAATTGTAATTATCAGCCTGGGTAGCAGGGACTAGCCTTCGGGGATCACATGGTACTATGCCTCCTGGAGAGCATGAAGAGATGTATCATCAAGCTAGTAAACTATGATAAGGTGAGGGAGATCACCCAAGGACCTGATGACAATCCTATTCTTTTAGTCCCATCTGGTAGAAGGGCTATGAAAGTTCACCAGTGTAGATCCAGATACCCCAAAGGGCTGGTTGGTCCAGGGACCTCATAAATCAGGCAGCTCCAGATATTCGTAGAAAACTCCAAAAGATGCCTTTAGGACTCCAAACTCCCAATACAGGCAGCTTTACTTCTTCATGGGCCAATCTTCCAATAAAGGCCCCAATATACAAAAAGAAAAATAAATTGGAGTCAGCAGAAAGACTACCAACTATATCCCAAGGGATGGCGGACACAGGATCAGAAGATGGTGTATCCTCAGGCATCCCAATGGAAAATCATCAAGGGATTCTCTCATTTGGAAGAGACACATTAATCTAGTTTAATAGTCTTGTCAGGAATTGTCCTGTCATGGGTGATCAAGAAAGTCACCAGGACCTGTGACCTATGTCATAAGAACCCCCCTGGGGGAGGGCTTACACCACTTCCACTTCTCCAGCCCATCCAAACACAAGGCACATACCCTGGAGAGGATTGGCAGATAGACGTCACTCAGATGCCCCCATCTCAGGGATAGAAATACCTCCTGGTCTTTGCGGACACCTTCACTGGTTGGATAGAGGCTCATCCCGCTTGAACAGAAAAAGCTCAGGAGGTAATTAAAGCTCTACTAAAGGAAATTATCCTATGCTTTGGGCTTCCAAAGTCTCTCCAGAATGATAACAGCCCATCCTTTATTGCAAGGGTGATTCGAGCCGTGTCTTCTGCATCAGGAATTAATTCATTATCACCTTCATGCTGCCTGGAGACCCCAATCCTCTGGGGAAGTCAAGAGGGTTTATCAAACCCTTAAAAAAAAATTGGGCAGCCCAGGTGGCTCAGCGGTTTAGCGCCGCCTTCAGCCCAGGGCCTTATCCTGGAGACCCAGGATCGAGTCCCACGTCGAGTCTCAAGTCGGGCTCCCCACGGGGAGTCTGCTTCTCCCTCTGCCTGTTTCTCTGCCTCTCTATGTCTCTCATGAATAAATAAAATCTTAAAAAAAAATCTTTGCCAAACTTTGTCAGGAAACCTCAGAACCCTGGACAAAACTCATGCCCTCTTGAGAATGAGAATGGCCCCACAAGGAACCTCTCCAACTCAGCCCCTTT